CCATATCCACAAAATTCTTATAACCCTCCAAATTACCAACAACCTCCACAACAAGGCCAATCAAGTGGTACCCATCAAATGAGCCTTCAAGAACTTGTCACTTCTCTTGCTCAAAGCCAAACCCAATTTCAACAAGAAACCAAGAATACTTTCTCCAACATTCAAGCACAAATTGGAGACTTGGCAACCGCTCTCAACAAGATGGAACAAAGGGGTAAACTTCCATCACAAACCGAGAAGAACCCCAATGTGAGTGCCATCACCTTGCGAAGTGGGAAAACACTTGGAGAAAGTCAACCTAAAAGAGTTTCAAGAGAAGACGAAGATGAAGTGATCATTGTGGAACCTCCAAAAGTTGTAGTTCCTCCAAAGGAACCGGTTGTGCCAAATGTTGATCAACCCGATCCTTCCAACAAACCCATCAAACCATTGGTCATACCACCGCCTTTTCCATCCCGGTTGGCTTCCTCAAAGAAACAAGAAGAAGAGAAAGAGTTTCTTGAGACTTTCCGCAAGGTTCAACTCAACATTTCACTATTGGATGCCATTAAGCAAATCCCACGTTACGCCAAATTTCTTAAGGATTTGTGCACCAACAAGAGAAAATTCAAGACAAATGAGAAGATTCAAGTCAATGCAAATGTATCCGCGGTCATCCAAAAGAAGCTTCCACCCAAATGCAAAGACCCGGGAATGTTTGCTATACCTTGTACCATTGGTGATTTACATGTTGAAAGTGCCATGCTAGATCTTGGAGCCTCAATCAATGTCATGCCATACTCGGTTTTTCAATCTCTCAATGTTGGACCTTTGGAAGAAACCGGAGTCATCATTCAATTAGCGGACAAGTCAAGTGTATTTCCAAGAGGCGTGTTGGAGGATGTACTAGTTCAAGTCAATCAACTAGTATTTCCCGCAGATTTCTATGTCATTGACCTTGAAGAAAAGACTCCTTCCAAGTCATCTATGATTCTCCTTGGAAGACCCTTCATGAATACCGCTCACACGATTATTGATGTCCACAATGGGAAGATCACCATGGAGTTTGATGGAGAGACCATTCACTTCAACATCTTTGAAGCAATGAGATATCCTAGCAACATATCTCCATTGTATCGAGTTGATGTGATTGAGCCAATCACCCAACAATTATTCGAGTTATCAAATGGGGATCTTTTGAAGATGGTGCTTAACATGAGTCTTGAAGGTGAAAGTTTGAAGAATACCTTGGATTTGTATACATTGGATTCCGAAGTTGAAGATATTGTGAAGGCTCTAGAAATTACTAATTCCACAAAGAAGGATGTTTCTCAAGTTGCCTTATCTCATTCTCCAATCAAGATGCCACCTTCCATAATCCAACCACCCACACTTGAATTGAAAGTCTTACCTAGCCATTTGAAATATGCTTATCTAGGTCAAGATGAGACTCTACCGGTGATTATCTCTTCTCAATTGAAAGACTTTGAAGAAAACCAATTGATTGAAGTCTTGAAAGAGCATAAAGAGGCCATGGGGTGGACCATAGCGGACATCAAGGGGATAAGTCCTAATGTATGCACTCACAAGATACTCATGGAAGATGATTGCAAGCCTAGGAGGGAAGCCCAAAGACGATTAAACCCTCCCATGATGGAAGTTGTCAAGAAGGAGATAATCAAGTTACTTGATGCGGATATGATTTACCCAATTTCCGACTCCAAATGGGTTAGTCCGGTGCAAGTGGTTCCCAAGAAAACGGGAATCACGGTTGTTGAGAATAACAAAGGCGTAATGGTACCCACTCGAGTTCAAAATGGATGGAGGGTGTGCATTGATTATAGAAAGTTGAATTCAAGCACACGGAAAGATCACTTCCCTCTTCCTTTCATTGATCAAATGCTCGAGCGATTGGCGGGCAAATCGCATTATTGTTGCCTTGATGGATACTCGGGTTTTCACCAAATACCCGTTGCCCCCGAAGATCAAGACAAAACGACTTTTACATGCCCCTTTGGCACATTTGCCTACAAGCGGATGCCATTTGGATTATGCAATGCCCCCGCCACATTCCAAAGATGCATGGTGAGTATCTTCTCCGAGTATGTTGAAAATATAATTGAAGTGTTCATGGATGATTTCACCGTGTATGGCAATTCGTTTGATGAATGCTTGGGTAACCTTAAGAAGATTTTGAAAAGGTGCATTGAGAAAAAGTTGGTGTTAAACTTTGAGAAATGTCACTTCATGGTCAATCAAGGAATCATTTTGGGACACATCGTCTCCAAAAAGGGCATCGAAGTTGATAAAGCCAAAATTGATGTCATCCAAACCCTTCCTTACCCAACATGTGTTAGAGAAGTGAGATCTTTCTTGGGCCATGCGGGATTCTATAGAAGATTCATCAAAGATTTCTCAAAGATCACGCGACCAATGTGCCTCCTTCTTCAAAAAGATGTCGATTTTGACTTCAATATTGCATGCCAAGAAGCCTTTGACAAACTTAAAGACTTGCTCACTTCCGCCCCAATAATCCAACCTCCAAATTGGGAGCTTCCATTTGAAATAATGTGTGATGCAAGCAATTTTGCTATTGGCGCGGTCTTAGGTCAAAAAGAGGGCAAAGCATCCCATGTCATCTACTATGCCTCCAAAACCTTGGATAATGCTCAAGCCAATTACTCCACCACCGAGAAGGAACTTCTAGCCATTGTATTCGCCTTGGAGAAATTCCGGCAATACCTTCTTGGGACAAAAGTAATTGTGTATTCCGACCATGCCGCATTGAAGTATCTCATGACCAAGAAAGATGCCAAGCCACGGTTGATTCGTTGGATTCTTCTTTTACAAGAATTCGATCTTGAGATAAAGGATAAAAGTGGTGCCGAAAACCTAGTTGCGGATCACTTAAGTCGGTTGAATATTGGTGATTCTTCTTCTCCTATCCTTGATGAATTCCCGGATGAACACCTCTTCTATATGTCAAATTCCATTCCATGGTACGCGGATATTGTGAATTACTTGGCTACTAAAGAAATTCCTCATGCATTTACCAAGTACCAAAAGGCCAAGTTGAAGAGTGATTCCAAATACTACGTGTGGGATGACCCTTATCTTTGGAAACATTGTCCGGATCAACTCATACGGAGGTGTGTTCATCAAAATGAGGTTGAGTCAATTTTGAAGTTTTGCCATGAGTATGCATGCGGAGGACATTTTGGTCAAAACAAAACCATGCGAAAGGTGCTCGAATGCGGACTCTATTGGCCAACAATGTCAAGAGATACCTATCTATTTTGCAAGAGTTGTGATAGATGTCAAAGAACGGGAACCGTATCCATGAGGCATGAGATGATTCAAAGCCCTATCCTTATTTGTGAAATCTTTGATGTGTGGGGAATCGACTTCATGGGCCCCTTCCCCGTTTCTTTTGGTTATACTTATATACTCTTGGCGGTTGATTACGTTTCAAAGTGGGTTGAAGCAAAGGCTACAAGTCATGATGATTCAAAAACTGTAATTGACTTCTTGAAGTCAAACATTTTCGCAAGATATGGTGTACCGAGAGCCTTGGTGAGTGATAGGGGCACTCATTTTTGCAATAAAATGATGGAAGCAATGACAAAGAGATATGGTGTCACACACCGGATATCAACCGCTTACCATCCACAAACAAATGGCCAAGCCGAAGTGTCAAATAGAGAAGTCAAACAAATTCTTGAAAAGACCGTCAACACTACCCGAAAAGATTGGAGCTTGAAGTTAGAAGATGCTTTATGGGCGTATCGGACCGCCTATAAAACTCCAATTGGTATGTCTCCATTCCGCCTTGTCTATTGAAAGTCTTGTCATTTACCGGTGGAATTGGAACACAAGGCATACTGGGCGGTTAAAAAGTGCAATTTCAATCTTGAAGAAAGTGGAAAGCACCGAAAAATGCAACTTCAAGAAATCGAGGAATTGAGAAACGAGTCTTATGAAAATGCAAGCATCTACAAAGATAAAACAAAAGCGTTTCATGACAAACATATCACTCGTAAGCATTTTATCCCAGGCCAAAAAGTTCTTCTTTATCATTCAAGCTTAAAGCTATTTCCGGGAAAATTGTGATCTCGATGGCACGGACCTTTTATTGTTATAAAAGTGTTTGATCACGGTGCGGTTGAAATTAAGAGTTTGGAAACAAATCAAATATTCAAAGTGAATGGACACCGCTTGAAACCATTTTATGAAGGCTTTGATACGGGAGAATTCGACAACGTAACATTGGAAATCCCAAATTACGAAGGTTGATGGAAGCGGGACTATGTCTTGGCAAAGACGTTAAATAAATGCAATGTGAATAAATAATGTCCGTTTGAAGTTTTGGGTGTTTCTAAGTTTGAAGTTGGTCTAAAAATAAGCATATAGCAGTCTTCCAGTGATTTTGGTGAAGTTTGAAAAATTCCAAAAAATTTAACTTTTGCGCGGGTACCCGCGCAACCTTTGCGCGGCCGACCCCAGCCGCGCAGGTCCCGAGTTCCAAATTGCACTAACATGGGGTGCTCTCTGATTGTTGCGCGCGGCCAATTCCCACCCTCGCAAACCCTTTGCGCGGCCAAGACCAAATTTTCACTCCTCATTGCGCGACTGCTAATTTTACCCATTTACCCGATAACCCACCCATTTACCCGATAACCCGCGATTCGACCCGGTACTCGACCCAACCTTATAACACCTCACACCCGTCGGACCCCCGTACCCCACCCTTGTCACTCCCGTCATCGACGACCACCGCGCCTTCAACCTCCGCCGAAGAGCATCTGCTACCACCGACGAATGCGCCCACGATCGCCGATCTTCCGCCTCCGATTCCGACCGACGTTACCAGCATCGCTGCTCACTGCCGACCGTCGACAGCAGCACACCCAACGACAGCCGCCTTCTTTACTCGCCGGAAAAGCGAGCACCACCGCCTCCACTTAATTCCACCTTCCAGATTACTTCTTTCGACGGCGCTCCACCTCCAGCCTTTCCCCCATCTAATTCCGAACCCCCCCCCCCCCACCCATTTCTCCGCCGGGAACAGCAACTGCCGCCACATTCCCACCCTCGCCGGAAAATTGTAAAACGGCCATTCCGCCTCCGCATTCCATCAAAACTCGAAAATTCTTGGGGCATTCTTTACCAAACACTCCACCACACACCGATCTACTATTAATTTGGGAAAACCTCATCGCCGGAAAACCTAGCTCCACCGCCGGCCGCCGTCTGTCGCCGCCACTAATTTTGACCAAAAAAAAAATTTGTTTCTCACCGGAGTTTCAAAAGATTCAACCTTGTGGGTCAAGTTCAAGCTTGGGGTGCGGTTTTAGCGGATTTCTTTTCGGGTTTCTGACACTCGAAATTGGTACATTTCTTTTAATTCCATTGCCTTCAAATTCTCATTCCATAAGCTTATGCTATGCATTAGGTTGATTAGAAATAGACTTAGTTTGCTTTGAATTAATTGAATTGCATTTGATTTTTCCCAAAATTGCAAGTTTGGAATATTTGCCCAATTTTTATTCTCTGATTTGATTGGATTGGTGTGAGGCGAGTGTGAGGGATAATTTTGCCCAAGTTTTTGTCTTTGCTAGGTTTATTCACCGGTACAATGGCACGGGACAAGACCATTCACGCATCTCATGGTTCATCTCGTGAAGCTCAATCCTCGGGGCCATCCAAGAAAATGTCCACCGACAATGTTGATCGTGATGGGAACCTTACCCTCACGAGTGCCCACATCCGAGAGTTCAAATCCAACCTTCAAAAGCGTGCAATCCGCGCCACAAAATTTTACCACCAAGATTCTATGGAGCACCTCGGCCTTGAAAACCACTTGAGACAACTATTTTTCAACATTGGTTGGCACGAGTTTCTCGCTCTTTCTGCACGCACCTACAAACAACCCACACTCGACTTCCTCTCCACCTATGCCCGCAATGACACGGCGAGGGTACTCACTTTCAAACTCCAGGGTCGGTAGCACCGACTCAAGTACAAAACCCTCAACAAGATCATGGGCACATATGACATCAACAACTCCGACATTTACAGCTACCAATGGTCTCAATTTAAAAGCTTGCCCAAAGTAGACTTTTGGACCCAAATCACGAGCCTTTCCAAGTTCAATCCCAGTCGCCAAAAAAACCCCTTTATCATCCATCCTTGCTGGAGAATTGCCCACCGGATCCTATCCACTTCTATCTTTGCTCGTCACGAGCCGGGACAAATCAACACCGTTGAGTTATATTTTCTCTACTGCATGTCGAGCCGACGTTGGTCTTTACCCGATTTCGCCACCTTCTTTTTAGACAAATGTGACAGCCTCAGGACGAAGACCACTGGTGACATTTGTATTGGAGGTCTCATTACCCTCATTGGTTTGGGTATGGGCCTTCAATTTCCAGAATCTGAATATATGCCAGTGGATGATCCACCTCTCTACCTTCTTGATTGCATAACTCTCACCCGGATGGAATTAATGCTACCTCATCCTACTCTTCCTGGACATTTCTCTTGGCTCAACCATGTCAAGGACCCAGTTTACATCTTTCCCAATCCAAGTATCTCCGCCTTCACCACCAATGTCCCCAAAACATGGTTCTTGCCTCAAGAGTTGCCAAATGATGATGCTGCAGCAGCGGATGATGACATGCAGGTGGACCCTGACAATGTTGATAGCCCATTCGAGGCTGAAGACCATTATGATCTCCCGATCCGCCAGTTGCCACCACCTTATCCATGTCAAGCCTCCGGGTCACACTCTCAGCCCTCGGGAGAACACTTCCAGCCACAGCATGATTATCACTCATACCAGAAACACAATGAGCCCGACCCCGCACACGAGTTTCCTCTCGATATTTACAGTCAGCTTGCTTCCTTGCGCCTCCAGGGCAACAAGAACACCGCAGCCATCCACCGCATTGAGGAACAACAAGCACGCACCAACACTTACATGGAGGACCTTTGGTATCATTTTCAGCCCGAGGGCGGTTATCCCCCTCGCGGGCCTCCTCCATCTTGATCCCGGTATGATCCTTCCTTACTCTCATCCTAAGCATTGAGGACAATGCTTAATTTTAAGCTTGGGGTGAGGTATTCTTATATTTTATTTTTTTTATTGCATTTAGGTTGTATATTGTTGCATTTAGAGTAACTCATTTAGGTCATTCATAAAAATTGCATAAAAATTTCAAAAAAATATTGCATATTTTGTTTCTTTCTTTTTCTAATTTTCATACTTTTTAGATGCATTCTAGTTTAAGTTCATGCATTTTTGTTCTCTCTTGTCTTCTCATCCCTACAGGTACCAGAGCACCGAGTCATATGTATTGAATCATAGATTGGTCCCGGGTCTTGATATGGAATTCCTTGTGTTTGATAAGTGGGACACGTTTTGAGCCTCAAAGACCATTTTAAGACCGCTTGTGTGGGGGTCAGATGTGTGCGAGGGATGTGGTTGGTCAAACCGATGTGCGCGAGCAAAGATTAGCCCGGTAAGGTACATTGAAGATAATGAAGACTCGCATCTTGGTTTTGGAGGGAGTAACCCTTAGTACTCCCGAGTCTCGTCCGAGCCTTACTTAGTTAGATTCTCACCACCTTTTTAAGATAGGTCATCATTTTTCTAGGGGTCTAGAGTAGATAGTTAGATAGATTTTGTTTATCACACCTTGCATTGAGGTGCTTGATGAACTTTGAAGTGGGTCCCCCAATTCACATCTTTTGGGACCAAGTCTTTTCGGTAACACCCATTTTTGAGTCATTCCCCACCCTTTTTAGTTGATCTTGGCACATTGTCAATGATCATTAGGTGTTCATGTTAGCCTCCATCCTATGCTACATGGTGAAATTCCTTAGACCTTCAAAAAAAACACAAAAAAAAAATGAAGAAGATTAAAGAAAAGCAACAAAATCAAAGAAGAAAAAAATGAAGAAAAAGAGCAACACAAAAAGAAGAACAAGAATCCAAGTTCAAGGCTTTAGATCAAAAAAAAAAAAAAGACTGAATATCAAACAACAAAGAGGCTGAAGACCAAATAACAGAAGTTCAAGATTGAAGATTTAAGCTGTTAGGTTTAAGTTTAGGTTAAGTAGAATTTTTTATTATTTTATTTTATTTTTTTGATTTTTGGTGAGAAAAGGCCTTGACGATGAGACAGTAGACTATAAAGGACAGTACAAGGGAGAAACTTCTGAAACCGGATGTTTGCCCGGAGGCCGTGCTGCAAAACCCTATTTCGTACTATACACTTTAGCCTGATGTCACACCCCCAAACCAAGGATGGCGGAAATGTCCGGGGGTGGAGGACTTCATGTATAGTATCATAACAACAATTGTAATAGTAATTCAAGCAAACACAACCAACATATATATAATTGAAAAAGTTACATCATTGTATGAATTACATGTTTACGAATCAATTACAATATGTTAACAAAATATGAAATAGTAGACGCCTTAGCGTCCCATCCTCAAAAGCACTTGGTTACCTGTTTAATGATTTCCTGAGAATACAAGTTGTTTGAAAAAGTGTCAACACAAAGGTTGGTGAGTTCATAAGCTTTTGTTTGGTATTATTAAAAGCCTTTCGTTTGTAAAAGTAGTATTTGTTTTAGAAAAATCCAATATTTTCCTTAAAATGTATATGTAGTCTTAAATCCAAAGACCGAAATGTATAAGTAACTTTTCTTACTTATAATAAATAATGTAAGTTTAAATCGACGTAAACTCATTTAATTTTAATGAAGTTCCCGTAAATTCCAATATTCATTAATACTTTATGTGAGTTTATTAAAGCCTTTTCTTGTAAAAGTAGTGTTCGTTCCAGAAAATCCAATATTTTCCTTAATGTGTAAATGTAGTCTTAAAACCCAAAGACCGAAATGTACAAGTAGTGTTCGTTCCTTATAGTAAAACAATGCAAGTTTAAATCGACATAAACTCGTTTGATTTTAGTGAAATCCCCGTAAATTCTATGTTTGTTAATACCACATGTGAGTTATTATAACCATGCTATGACCTAGTTGGCCTGAAACGACGTTCTTCAGGCGTCGGAAATGTTATGACATTTGTCACCCCAGACCTATCGGTCTAACTGTTGCATGCAGTTTAGGTGTGGGTTTGTCAAACCCAATATAGATCTATACACAACTATCACGCTCTCCCTCAAGGAGACTCTGGTTACAATACAGGACTTAATGGTAATTTGAAGTAAATGTCTCACAAAGTCATTAACGAATTTACGTGTAGTGTAATGAAAACTTGGTACCGTATGGTCGTACCTTGCTTAATGAAAATATCCTTTGTATAAATGTACCCTTTTTAAATGTATGTGTTATGTAATGTTTCATAAAGTCATTAACGGACTTACGTGTTATGAAAACTTGGTACCGTATGGCCGTACCTTGCTTAATGAAAATATCCTTTGTATAAATGTACCCTTTTTAAATGTATGTATTATGTAATGTATCATAAACTATACCTATTATAGTTTATCAACCAAGGGTAGTACGTTGTAATGTATGCAAACTATATTCAAAATAGTTTATTAAATGTTTGAATGTATCGGTTGTACTTTGATTATAATCACTTGTTATTCTTTATATTTTATATGTCCAAATCCATTTGTAAACTGATGTGTGTCTAAATATTAAGATAAAATGTCATATATTGCAATAACATATAATCAGAAAAAGATATACACCTTGCTCAACATGTTACAAGGTGAAATGAAATTGACAGCAGCTTTTTGTTGAATACAGTTTCTGTTACTGTTCTTAGAAAATTTATAGAAAAATCATCAAAGCTCCAAATCCAAATCCGCAAATTCTGAGAGTTTGGAATATGAGTCTAGTTTGTTCGTAAATTTTATCATGATTTTTAGTGATTTCTAACAGAGATGAAAATGTTCATAATAACAGACTGGTCCGGGTTTGCCTCTGAAATGACAGGCAGTTTTGTAAAAATCACCATAAATTGTAGAAAAATCATATGGAGATGTGCAAGTAGCCATTTTAAAGCTATGAGTTTGAACTACTTGCACCTGGAACAGTTTTGAAAACTAAAATATTTAAGTTGACCAAAACAGTCCGTGATCGAAGTCCATCTTTTCTGATGTAATCTGTTAGAAAAAGTTTAATTGTGTTCTTGATGATTTTACTTGTATCCCCCCCCCCTTCAAACTTAAGAAGAACATGTAAATGTAGGGGTATGAACTCACCCTATGTGGTTTCAGTAGATGAAAGTAAGAGAGAGGAAGTGTTCAACCCAAGAACACTAAGAAGATGTCTTGATGATTCGAGAATCTAACACCGAATAAGATGGAATTTGTGTAAGATATCAATGATTTGAGTAGAATGGAGTGTAATAATTATATGAATGATGAAGATACTTACTAATTGAAGAAAGAAATCCCTGGAGAAAGCCTTGAAGTTCTTGAAGTTGAGAGAAAATATGAGAATTTTGGAGAGTGTTCTTTGGTTGCTAAGTGTAGAATGAAAGAAGTTAATGAGAATGAGGAGAGATGATCAATTCTCCAGCTCTTAGAACGTGGGAAGAGCTGGAGATTGGGTGTAAAGGTCCACTAAGGTGACAAGGGGTAGTGGGAAAGAGTGGCTAATCATAGAGTGAGGTGGTGGTGGTTTGCTTTTGCCATAAATTAAGGAAAAGCAAATA